TGGCTGCCCTGGCCCTTTGGAACAGCCACCCACCTGAGATCCAGAAGGCCTCTACCCTTTTAGCCTTCTGGAAGGCCATGAAGATATAGCTCTTCCCCCAGGCATTGGGCTAGGATGGAGAGGAACCAGTGGTTGAGGAACTGATGGACGTTATAGTGCCATGGTGGGGAGTGTACTGCTTGGTGTATGGGTGTCATGATTATTTATTTGTTGGCTTTATTGATTTTGTTGTGAGCTGCCTAGGATTATTGTATATAAGATAGGTGGCCATAAAATTTTAATAAATAAATAATAAAAAATATAAAAGAGTGAGCAAGCTATTTCTTGATTTTTATTTCAGAAGCAAGAAACTAGGACAAGGAGCAAGACAAAGCCCCTATTTATGACAGCAACCTGAGCTGTCAAGATGAGTGAATGATGCTTGATTATAATAGTGTTTACTTCTTCAATGAGACTGAGTAAGTAGAACTTGGTTTATCATAGTGAGTTTCCATAATCTTATTTTGCTTTGTGACATAGCTGCCCAGCCCTTATTTCTGATCACATGGGAGAGATGTGGGTTACCTGCAAAGTACATTTTGGGCTCAGTGATTCAATTAATTAATTTCAAACAATTAATTAGTTTAATTAGTTTCTAATTGCCAAATGTCCAGAACATTTGTACGAAGTCTGTTCTCAGCTTTTTTTCATATCTCCAAATAGGTTTTTTTTTTTAAAGTAAGGCACATGCTGCAAGGCAGAGGTTAGTTTCTGCAGATCCAACGGCAGCTGCCAGAAATGGCTGGTCAGGGCTAATCAGTCCTTACAAATTCTAAGATGTTCTGACTTCAGTGGGTGTGTTTATGGCAACTGAACACAGCAGGCTGCTCTACTAAGACCTTGGATCCAGCCATCATGACCTCAGCAAATGGCACTGGTGCAGACAAGCCAGGCCTCTGCCAGTAGATGATCTGTTCCAGATGTGTGGCCTGGAGAATGGGAGGGAGGAGGAGAAGCTTGCTTGCGCAGTCCAAGAAAATCAATCTCCTTCTTGCTCAGTGAAAGCACAG